GATTTTTAAATCTCGTAAATAAGAATCGCGCCGTACAATATTCAAATCGCGTGAATAAGAATCACAACACGCAAATATGAAAAGCTATGTTTGATATTAAAATCGTGTGAATAAGAATCGAGATATTAGCAGATTCCAGGTTTGGGACCTCTAAAAGGCTTGTCAGAAGCAGCTTCGTTTGAACTACGAAAATCGGATCTATCTGAAGGGCGGGTAAAAAATTCGGAAAATCTTATCTGCTGCGTGTAAAAGGGGAGAAAATAGCTAAAATAAGTAAAAATTAGAAAGGATGGGTAGCTATGTAGTTTGAATTTTCTGTTTCTCTTTGAAAATCGGTGAATTTTCTGAAAAAGTGAAATTTTTAGAAAATCTGAATTTTTGATTTAAAAAAAAGCTGAAATTCAAGAGATAAAAGTGAAAAAAGCGGAAATCCGCTAAAAAGCGGAAAAATCTCATCCCTGTTATAAAATAAATTTTCTTAATTGTTATATTTACATTCTCACTTGGTATGCCACCCATTAACATGATTATGTTTTAAACATTCAACACACACAAAGTCACATTAGACTAGAAAGCCGATATACAAAATATAGGGTACATCAAAATGACATAAAATTTTTAAGGCTTCTCATTCTCAGATGGAGGAAAATAATAATTTGCAAATAATTGTACTCAAAATTAACACAAATTAAAAATATATACATTTATTTGAATAAATAAAAGAAAACTACCTTTTTTTTACACAATTTAATCATTTATAGTACAAATAGACAAATATACATAATATGACAAAGTCCAATATTTTTCATTCGCTACTTCTTTGGAGGACTTTGAACAAATATATCACTTAAAATTGCAAAGCACAATTGTACATGCATGCTTACAATCTTGGCAACTCCACAAAATGTACAAATATAAAAGATAATTTATTTTACATGTTGGGCTTTTCTTTTTCGTGCAGCCAACATATCATAGAATGGATTATGACTAATGCTTTGCCTGGAATATAAAAAAAATTACACAATTTAATTGATACATAATTCATGTTCATTATTTTAATTATACATATTGATTGGATATGGTTTAATACAAAATTTAGGAAAAGCATGGCATTTATAAATTGTAAATATTAGAAAAGAACAGGCTAAAATATTGATAGAATAAAAGGCTCAATTTCAATTACATTTAGTAAAATGAAGCCAGAAAAATAAATTTAAAAAAAGGGCTAACACTAGGCTAACTAATAACTCTAGATTTTTAACAACAAAATTCTACACAAAATAAAATAAATTCACATTTTATTGAAAAACATGAAAACAAAATGGTGCGAAAGATTACCGTCTATTTTTATCATTTTATTAACCTATTAATATGCATTATACAATAATATTTCCCATGATGTAGTGAAAATATGTGTCAGAACAGCCTATTTATTCTATTGATAGGCAAGCATAATTGTATTTGGAACTCGAAAAGAGTTATATTACCTATCAAGCTTTTCAGAAAATGAATTCAATTTACAAAAGCAAAAAAGAGACAAAGAAGTAAATAAACTATAAAAACATTAAATCAAAATGGATAAGTGCCTAAAGCAGCTAAAACCAAATTTGCTTTATTTTAATTTAGAAATCCAAACAAACATTAAATCAGGAAAAATTAAAATATACACACAGATTTTGATTTTTCCTGATTTAATGATAGTTTGTTTGAATTTCTAAATTACCTATTAAGCTTAAGTATAGCTGAAAACTTTTGCAAATTTCCTGTAAGATTTTTCTTTACTAATTTAAGAAGTAACAAATATATCCCCTTTTTTTAGTTTTTGAGTATAAAAATTTAATTTAAAAAAGGTGATAAATTAAAAGAGGTGATAAGGGTGTAAACCTAACAACCAAACTAAAAGTGCCTATTCGGTATCACTAACTTGAATGTCTATGTAAATAGGAAAAACATACTCATTTCTCAGTGGCTACATCTAGAATTATGTATACATATATATACAATGTTATTTTTTGAATTGAAAAAGTATTTTTTTAAATTTCAAATAAATATCATTGAGAATAGTTATTGTAAATTATTTAACTATTTCTATAGGATTGCAATTATTCTAAAAACAATTTACAGCATTAAACTTAGTTATTAATGTACTCTTTCCTTAACTATAGATAATTTCATCGCTAAAGAGTGACTGTTTAACCAAGGTCTCACCGTACAAAATTTCGAAAGTGCCTTAATTTATTTTATACATAACGTAATAATGTTAGATTACCAATTAAAATTCACATATGTAATAATATAAAAACTAATTTTAAAACTATAAAAATTAATAAAAAATTTAATAATTTCTTATTCAGGGTGCGTAACCAAACCTTTCAACAAAAAATAAGCACCCTTTAATTACTTTTAAAGCATTCAAAAAATATTTTTAAGAACTATATACATTAACAAAATGCAAAATAGTTTTCTAAGACTTTACATGATTATGATAAAACAACTAGTTTCCGACAAAGAACTCTTTTCTTGATTGTATTTGCCACTATAAAAAGATCGAAAGATTTTTGGTTTGATTTCAGAGGCCTGAAATTGAGAATATCTTGTAAAATGCAGCAGAGTTGTACTTGAGAGAGCTAAAATCTCACCAAACCCAGCTCAATAGACGCACATGAGGACTCCCAAGTATTTCATCAAACATATAAAATGAATGACGCTTTCATACGCTATGGACCAACAGTAGGCCGAAATGGACTGTGGTTAAATGAATTGTAAAAACGTTGAATAGAACAATGTGAAAAAGCACGCTTTTGCATAGTGCTAGGCAAAAATCAACATGGCAAAGAAAAAAATCTAATTTTCAAAAAGGAAAAATTAGGCACTTTCTAAAAACACCAAATGAAAAAAGCACCTTTAAGTGGTTTTTGAAAACGCTTCACACCATGTTATTATAAAACTTTGCATATCTCTTAAAAGAAAAAATTAAATAAAGATTTGAACTGATCTTACCTAATACACTTGATCCAATCATCTTTCTCTTCTGGTGTGGCAGCAGACATTCTATAGACGGTATGCTTTCCCTCCACTACTTTCCCCTCTGAGTCTGTTTTGCAGGCTTTGATTAGATCACTTCCCACAGAGAACAGTTCAAAGCAGTTCGGTTTGTTCCTGTCTGCTACTTCTCTAACCTGAACATTCTCCAATGGAATAATCCCCCTAGGTTCCTTATCCTAGAGAACAAATACACATTTTCTTAAAAATTAAAATGCACACTGATAAAAATGTTTTCCTTCATATTGTTGAAAGTTGGAGAACTTTTCATACATATTTACATAAAATTTATCAAAATATAAAATATTTTCAGACTACATGTGATCTAAGTATTTTTTATTTTATTTTTTTTGCAAAAAAATGCATTTTTGATTTTATTCGAAACAACCATAACTGCCATTCTAAAATGATTTTCAGAGTGAACTTATTTTTTGGCCAACTAACACTATTAAGGCTTTTTGCTAGAAATTTCAGAAATTTATACACTATTGACTTGTAAATGTACCTTACTACAATAATGGCACATATATTAAATCAAGGATTTGATTATTTTTCTAAAAAATTTTCTGATTTTTTTTTTTTACAATTAAGATAAAAAATAAATTTAAGATAAAAATAACAGCGAAGTCTATACATCTTTCTACACCAATCACTGAATAATAAATCACTAATTTTTTCATGAAGCTATTCATATCTCTACTTATTTTTTGAGTGACCTATATTTTTGTCTTTCTCTAATTTTGTATTTTTTTTATTAACAAAAACCTTATTTTAACTATGGTCAGCATTTCAAAAAATTTGGGTAAAAGGAAAACTGAAGAAAATTTAGACACAACAATAGTACACATTTCGTATAACCAAGCAAGCATTGTTTACAGATGATGTTAAAAAGATTATTGTGTTATAGCGAGTTTCCGTTTCGGACTAAGAACTCTTTTCTTAACTATATTAGTCACCGTAAGAAGATTGAGAGATCTTTCGGTTCAATATCAGAAAGTGGAAAACGAAGCCTAGAATTGAGAATATCTTGTAAAATGCAGCTGAGTTGCACATGACAGTGCTAGAATCTCACTGAACCCAGCTCAGTAGATAGTTAAAAGCATCCAATGAAAAAGTTTTGTCTATTATTTAACATTAAATACTTATAAGTAATTTTTTCTGTGTTATCCAATGTGAGCATTGCTGTGAAAGAATTCAAAAAAATAATTTTCTAATAAATTTAATCTTTGGAAAAAAATTTAAAAAGAACAAAAAAAACAACTTTTTTCACTTATCTGCAATTTACAAAAATAGTAATTAAATAAAGCATTGAAACTAAAATATTCAAATTTTAAAATGCAGAGGTACTAATCAAGTTGTTCAAAATTTAAATATTTTGACATTTCTTTAATTTTTATCAAAAAAAAGCAAGATTTATCAAAATAAACTCTATCAGGCAAAAACGTGTTCAAGTATAAATCAATGGTTATATTTAAAAGTAAAAAGTAATTATAATTCAAATACAGTAAAATATAAAATTAATTTTTCCAATGTGAAACCAGCAATAATTTAATCTCATTAATTTTAAGAGAAATTAATATTTTTATTACACTAAGAAATAATTACATTATAACCGTTTGATCTAAAAATTGAATTCACCATACACCCTGAATACAAAAACTTCCCCCCCCCCCTCTTTTCCTGTAATATATTTGCGACATATAAAGCTTTATATTGTGGAAATAGAGATACTTATTGATTCAGCTATATTCATCCATTATGCCACGATCAATATTTTACTTTCAGATGAATTTATTAATTAACTTTCTGACATTTTTACTAATTGGTAATTTTTTATGAATGTTTTCTCTATATTTCTCAACAAAACTTAAAAAAACAGGTTTGTTACGCAGAAAAGTAAGCAAAACAAAAAGAAGAAAAAAAATAGTTTTCTAAAAATAATGTCAACAAGAGAAGTATTTTGAAATTTTGTGCCAACATTAGTTCAAATTATCCAATTATGCTCAAATAAACTATAAATACAATATATTTATAGTAATTAAAAATGCAAAGGAAATTTTAGAATAAAAATTTAAGTGTGTCAGTAAAAATTTGAAAAACAAATGCAAAGAAAGTAATTCTTACTGTAGTATATTCAAAGTAATATAAACAGTTATCGTTGAGAATGAACCACCTTCGCTTCCAACTTTTATAACGACCACCTAAAAAAGAGATATAAGATTTCAGATTTGCTAAAATCTACAGAAAATCTAAAAGTAGAATTTAAGAAACATGCTTCAAATGAAAAATATAAGTAATTTTTTTTTTTTTAAGAAAAAGAAAAAAACAAAACTATTTAGTTATTTTTATTGCAAATAAATAAAAATTCATTCTTTAGAGTCAAGATGTAAAACTGAAAATAGTCATTTAGCTCAGAAAAAAGGGAAAATATGATAAATTGTATAATGAAGTGGATTAACGGGAAGACACATGCTTCTAACAAAAATTTACGTATTTGAAACGGAACAAAAAAACTATTAATATTGCATATAAATAAATACTTTAGTAACAAGATGTATAACAGAAAATAGTTATTTAGCTCAGAAAAAAAGGAAAAACATGATAAACAGCATAATGAAGAGAAATAACGAGGATTTTTTTATTAAAAATTGGTAAAGCTTGTTAAATTTGACTGGATCAAAAATAATTATCAGGGGTCTGACCAGACATTTTGTGAAAAGTCCTGTTTCTGTAAAATTGTGCGTTAAGTCACATTCTTTCATCCAGGGTCCTGCTTTTGTGAATTTCTGCAAATAGGGTCCTGTTATTCCAAAAATTGCTAAAAACCTTTTCAAGAAGTTTGTCAATTGTAAATAGATACAAGATTCTGCTCAACAATTGCTGCTACTAAATTAGAGTTGTAACATACAAATATTTGGTATTTAGCCTATACTGCTCAACACAGAATATTAATTTCAAACGAATAATGGAAACAAAATCACTCACATTTTCAATAATTTCAATTGACATATTTTAAATAACACAACTTAGTTATGTATCACTTTTAATGTGTTACGTCTTCTTAATTCTTAAATTTATAATATTTTATTTAAAAAGTTGCCAAAAATTAATTATTATTTACATAATATTCTATTAATTAATTTTATGAACAAATATAAAACCATCAATTATTTATTCACAAAAAAAATCATCATTTAATATCAATAAGAACGTGCATATGATGTTTGTAAAAGTAGAAATATTTTCTTAGAATACTACATTTGGAATTTAAACTTAGGGTTCATTTTGTACCATCTTTGTTTTCCCCCTTCCCCGGGAAGGGTTTATTGGATTGACAAAACAATAATGAAGATAAACAAATTGTGAAGGGTCCGATTAAAAGATTAATTATTTTGGGAAGGGTCTGTTCTTATAAACAGACCCCTGATTATGGAATCGGAATGTAATGTATTTTCGGCACATTATATATTTGTTAGTCTTGGAAACCAATTCATTTTTTTCGTCCAATTTTGATTAATTTCTGATCCGGCATTGAAAGGTTGTTGCTAACGAGGGGGAATACATTATTGATTCAAAATAAAATCTTGATAACAAATGTCAAATGCACCGAAATGACGTTACTTTCTGGTCTCTTTAATAGTTTTCAACGATTTTCCTCAAGTATTACATTTCATTAAATTTATCCATAAACTAATTTCAAAAAGTATCATTAAAAAGTTTATAAAAATGTTAAAGTTTATTTTTTTGATTTGATCTCAAGATATTTTACTATTTTTAAACATTAGTATCACTTTGATAACCTAAAAAGAAAAACATCAATTTAGCTGTATTAAAAAAACAATTAAGAATTTTAAAAAAAATAATTTAAAAATTCTTTAACCACTAATTCTATTTTATTTTAACCACAAAAGAAAACACCAAGAATAAAAGAATGAGCAAAAAACAAGAATGAAAACTGGACAACCATATTAATCATGAAAACAAATTACATTTAAATATGTTAAAATGCAATAAATACTAAATATATCCAGAACTTTTATATCAACTTAGAAGTGAAATGAAAGCACATTTAATACAAATAATAGTTATTAAAGCATTCAACAAGACATTTGAAATATTTAGCTTTCACACAAATGCTAATCAATAATGATGTGCCAAAATTTGAACTTGTCTAGGCTCAAATAAAAACAGCTCTCATATCATATACTTATGAGAGCTTGCAGAGGTGTATAAATTTTATGTTTCCTAAATGATGCATAAAAAATAGCAATACAATTTATAAAAATGTATATTAAGATTAAAATATGCTGCATTTAAATTTCTCTCCGCACAAGCTTTCCAAAACAACCCCAATATTTCTAAGCTGCATATTTTTAACTACTGATAGTGATTTAAAATTAATTAGAATGCAAAAATAAATGAGAAATCGGAAATCTTTTACCGGCACTAAGTAATAATAGCAATAACAATAGTGCCATAATAAATTATAAAATTTTTTTAAGTTTTAGAATTTTCAAAAAAATAAAAATCATTGATAGTCATGAAAAGTCATATAATGTAAATTTTTATTAAATGTTTGAATTGTTGGGAAATTTTGGCACATAAAACAATTCAAAAGCAACAGAAATTTCAAAAAAAAAAATTAAAAAGTTTAGAAACAGCCCACTTAGGATATAAAACTCATGCTGCGGCCATTCATTGTGTATGCTTAAAAAAAAAAGAAAAAAAAATTACAAATTAAAAAAAAAAAGCAATGTGGAGGTAAAATTAAAAAGAGGGGTAGAATATCTTCCAGAATTGACTTACTGATTTTCGAGCTTCCTGTGGCATTAAAAAAAACATTCCTTAAAGATCAATACATTTACATTTTAAATTTACGAACAAAATTATTGTGTAATTTAAATCTAGTAAATGCAATCATCAAATTTAATTAACATATATTTTATGGCAGAAAAGCATGTGGACACTTAGGATAGAAATGTCAAGTACATTAATTAGCAAAGGCATAAACAACAAAATCGTACAAAAAAAAAGAAGATAGCGTGACGAAGAAATTTTTTTTCACAAATTAATAAAAGGAATATCTATCATGTTTAAACTAAAAAAATAATCTTTTTTTTACTTGAAAACAATGTAAGACACTTAAGAAAGTCATAAAAAAATGAAGGTTTCACTCTTTAGAGCCTCTATGGCACTGATCTATAAATAAAAGAGTGCGATGATGATGCTTTACTAACAATGGAATCAGTCTCTTTGATCAGCAAAAATTAAAGAGAGTTTTTCTTCGATTTCAGATGGTGGAAAATGAAGCTTGATATTAGGAATATCTTTCAAAATGCAGAGAGTTGCGAATCAAAGTGACAGAATACTTCCCATAAAGTCCAGCTCAATATACCAACATGCAGACCTGCACATATTATTAACATGTAAATTCATACACTATGGCCCGACGGTATGCCATAATTGATTGTGGTCGAATGAATTGAGAAAACTTTGAATAGAACAAGGTGAGAAACCCTTTTTTGCATAATTCATGGCAAACATTCTGATTAAATTTTGTTCTTTTAAGAGAAAATCTTCAAAATTTTGATCTTGTAGTCAGTCATAACAGTTACCACTTAAGTTATGTTAGTTACTAAATATAGTAACACAGCATGACATTTATAAGGAAAAAATTCTTTTATCTAAATAGTTTGATAAAAACATTAATCAATATTACATTGATTTAGAATAAAATCGCACTGAAGTAAATTATCTTGCAGACAGAACAAAAAAATATTTTTATACAACTATTTAAATTAACAGACATGACAACAACAACAAAAATTTTGCTAAAAAGTTTCTGCTCCATTAAAAAAAACACAGTCTTCACTGGTATACAAGTGTTACTATTAAAGAATTCCAATTATGTACTAATAAAAATGTAAATGGTAACAGAATGACAATAATTTTTACGCAAGCGTATTTTGTTAATTAAAAAATTAAATATTTATATTGTTATCAGAATATGATTTAGACAATTTTACAAAATTGTAAAATATGGCAGAGTGAAAAGTTGAGTAACTGGAATAGTATTCTTGTGTTTTGTTATTATATCAGTGTTAATGTTTTAAGCAGCTATACTTTCGATTTCCCTTCATTAAATTTCTTTATGATACTATTTTTTCTTAGTTAGGGTCCTAAAATATTATACTCCCTGTACCTGAAACTGTCTGCTAATAAGTATGACACAAAGAAAAATCATTAAAAAATTTTTAGAACTTCTAAAAAAATTTTATTCTGATTGTCAAAATTACAATGGGTATGTATTAATAATTAAGCGTTTAACGATTTGTGATTGTTAACAAAATAGCTGTTGCCAATCATTAAACAAATAAGGCCCTTGTTTTTTAAGCTATAAAAAATATGCATAAGTAAATATTAGACAGAAAAAAAAATTATTATTACATGATTTTATTTGTACAATATTATACATCAAAAAATATTATACAAATAAAATTATGTAATTTTAACTCATTCTTAATAACATTTAGGACTAAAAAAAAGCATCTTAACAAAAGCTACAATAAAGTCATTATTTTAAAAAAATATTTTAAAATAGTATGCTAGAAATAAGGCACATTTAATTATTCAGTGGAATAATCTACTAAATTTTTAACATTGTAACTAAAATTTGTGGTCTCCTAAATTTAATTTTAAAATTTCAATTAATAACAACCATTTCATGTTTTGCCAGAATGCAGCTAAGATTTTTCTTCTTTAATAAAACATTAGAAATTAATTTATCAGGAATTATGCTAAGAATTTTTTTTTTTTCAAAAATAGAAAATTAAAATAAATAACATTAACATTTTATATCACAAATTTTACAGAAATTAATTATATTTTTTTAACTTTAGCACTGAAGTAGATTTTGGTTTGGAGCAGTCAGTATGCCATTGAGGAAATTGAACATAATTTTAATTTAATTCAGCAAATTTTAAGCTTAAAACAATTTTGATCAAAAATATCTGAAAAAATTTAGCAATTAAAGTGAAACAGAAATTCTTTCATTGCACATTTAAATAGTAAAAGTTGAATTTAAATTTACCAGTTTTATTGCGTAAATAAACTAGGAATACAGTAACAAAAAAAACTGGAGTTAATCAAAAATTACACTTCAAATTTACAGACATGAGGGAGAAAACTTAGGTCATAATTTAAAAGACCAAAATTAATTCTAAAACTATAAAAGAAATGTTTTCACTAAAATATCAGTTAAAAAAAAAGCTATTAGCTCTAATCAATATAGTGCATAAAGTGAGTCTAACTATCAAAAAAAGAAAACTGCAATGACTAGTCATGCAAACTGCAGAAATACTAAAAAAGAAGTTCACCTTGTTTCCATAACCATCCTTCCCTATCTGGGTTGAAGAACGTGTGCATGAGATCATTGCCGTCATCTTCAGGAATTTTGAAAGGTTCTTGCTTTATACTGTCATAAAGACCCTAGTGATTACAAAGAAATGCTCAGTAATATGTCATCAAAAGAGGTGTTAAAAATATTTATCAGTGTTAATGCCAATAGTTTCTGACGGACAGAATAAAGTTTAATCATATTGAATTAGATAAATTTTTATACTGAATGATGATAGTAATTCAAAATAAATAAAAGAGGCGATATTAAATAAAAATTGCTAAAAAATGAAAATCGAATAATTGTCGAAACAATACAGTCTATAAAATGATTAACATCGACTCAAGTTTTTTAGAATAAAGTGACATATTTCATTAACATTAGTAAAAATTATAAATTTTATTTTTCAAAAATAATTTCTAATCTATAAAAAAAAATCATTTATTCAAAATTCATGATTTTGTACACAATTCAAGAGGTTAAGAGATATAATAAAAATACATTAATGAAATATTCCTAAAAAAAGAAAAGACCACTTCACTTTGTATCAAATTTTTTACTATGAACATTTCATGTTAAATCTCCTTAAAGGGACACTATAATGAGGTGTGCGTAATGGCAAATTCTGTTACACCTCAATTAGTAATTATAAAATGAGTCCAGGTAAATCATGTGGATTTATCTTAATTACCAATGAAGGTGAAACAGAATTAGCCATGATTTTGTACACAATTCAAGAGGTTAAGAGATATAATAAAAATACATTAATTAAATATTCCTAAAAAAAGAAAAGACCACTTTGTATCGAATTTTTTACTATAAACATTTCATGTTAAATCTCCTTAAAGGGACACTATAATGAGGAGTGCGTAATGGCAAATTCTGTTACACCTCAATTAGTAATTATAAAATGAGTCCAGGTAAATCATGTGGATTTATCTTAATTACCAATGAAGGTGAAACAGAATTAGCCATGAAAAGTTTAGTTTCTCTATTGGTAAAACATCCTCATAAAAGAACAAAACCATGATAACAATGGGTGGATAGTTATGAATTTTATTTAAGTCACACTAGAGGTACACAACGAGCTATTGGTGACATCCCCGAGGATGATTCAGAGACATACAGTGTTTTCACTACAGCGCGAGAATCTCGCGTTTTTTTTTCTTTTCTCGCATTAAAAAATTATTACTACGAGAAATTCGCGGATTCTATAAATAAATTTCAAAATTCGTGAATTTCTCTCATTTTGGAAGAAGCTTCGAATTACGCTATTTAGAATAAAATCCGTTTCACTTTTCTTCCTGGATCTTTCATTATCTAGCTTCCCTATTTACCAGTATTCAAAACCTTTTCGAACAACAGAACACAATCGAACCACGGAACCCCTTTCAGAACACCCATTTTTTTCTATGATGAAAACACTGGACATGACAGCGCAGTCTTGATCCACTACAGAAGGGATGGCCTGCACGCTAAGTTGAACAGTAGAACCTTTAAGGTAGATCAGTTTTAACGAGGACTTTACAGACCCTCAATCTCTAAGCAGGCTGATTTAAATGGTCACCCACCCGCTTACTGACCACAGCCAGTGATGCTTGACCTCAGTGTTCTACTGGGAACCGTGTCCTTATGACCAGGCCACCGTGGGACCATGAGAGTGTTGATATAAAAAAGGCAGTACATAATTTCCAGTACAAATGTAACATCAAATCAGAAAAAAACTTAAATTATAAAATTCTATAAATAGTGGTAAAAGTTTTGTTAATATATTCACAGCATTCATAAAATTAATTACCTCCAGAAGTTCTCTGGGAAGATCTCCACCATTATTTATACCCCTATTCATTGTAATGAAAGTGTCTACAGTAGGCTTTTCTTTTACACTAGGATTGTGTAAAGAAGTATTCAACATTATAATGGCAAAAGACAAGACATAACACGTATCTAAAACATAAATATTTTTTTAGCATACTTTGAAATAAAAAGGGGCACAAGAATAATAATTAAGTTATAATCATTTATTCATACAGCAGAAGACAGACGGAATCAAAATTAAAAATATCAGAAACAAAGGGATCTATTATGAAAGCTATTTTGGAATTAAGCAGCAAAAGCTGCGAACAGATGTTCTAGAAAAAAATATAAATACAGAGGACTGTAATTTAATTTGCGATAATTCTTTTGGTTGTTCAATAAAATACACAGTTTAAATTTTTTGTTTCTGAGTTTTTAGTTTTGAAATCAGTCCAGTGGACAACCTGCAACTAATAACACACAAAAATCCATTAAGTAAATTTTGCAAAATAATAAAAATTTAAAAAAAAACAGATTAAAAAATAATCCGCATATAAACTGTTCTACAAATATGTTCTGTAGCCCCCCCCCCCCAAATAAGCATCTTTTAAGCACTTTTCTAGCACTAAAAAATTATTTTTAAGCTCTTTAAAAAAATATAATTAGGCAGGGTTGTTAAGTTTTTGACAATTAACGGTTTTATCTTGTTTTAACTGTCAAATCAAAAAAATAAAAACCTTTTGGCATTGTTTTTGACAGTTGTCAAAAATCATGAAATTTTGAATCGTATTAAATGAATGAAGTTTTCATACGATACAGACTGACAATACGCCAAAATAGATTAGGGTTGAATGAATTGTGAAAACGTTGAATAGAACAATGCAAAAAGTGTCTTTTTGCATAATTCGTGGCGAAAATCACCATGGCAAAGGAAAAATATCATTTTGGAAAAGGGAAAATTAAGCAATTTTTAAAAACACCCCATGAAAAAAGCACCTTTAGGGGCTTTTAAAAAATGAAAGTCGAAAATAAGCACCTTCATGCACTTTTTAAAAACACTATGGACCATGAAATAGGGAATTTTAAAAAATTTAGGGTGACCTGGGGTAATTATTGATCAAAAAATGCAAACATCTATTTTGTGAAAAAACTATTCAAGATAGAATTTTAATATTTACTGGAAGTTTGAAGATATATGAGATGAGTCCTATTCTACCTTCTTTTGTTTGAAAATCTAATTAGAATTTAAAAGATCTTAAATTTTTAGTGATCANTAAATTTTTAATCTATATTTTGTGTATCTTGTATTTTGAAGGAAAGTACTCATCTTGTTAAAAAAAAAATTTAGAATTATTTTTTAAATTTGAATTTTCTTGAAAATATTTAACATTAATTACAAATAAAATATATTTTTTGATCACACTTTGGGTTAACTAAAGAACAAAATGCATACTTTTTTTATTTTTTGTGACTGTTGTAATACCTGCTCCCTCATTAAAATAGAATAAATATTTTTCTGCATGAGTTGATATTACAGCAAGCATAAGTCAATCTATGGAAAATGTGTATAATTTTTATATTGCAGTTTATTTTTCTCAGATTGTTTAATTTCTTGTTAAATGTCTTGTTTTAGATAATGCAGTCTAACTACGAATATCAGATGAAATGTTTTTCACCCTGATTTTTGTGATAATATTTGTTGCAAAAGGAAATTTGTGTACCAAAATGGCTTATTTAGGCACTAACTATGTAACTAATTTAAATGAAAAGTAAGAAATAAAAATCGTAAAGCATAAATTATGAGAAAATAACATTAATGGTTTAAATTTTTGCAATTCATTATGATTTGCTCATTTGTATTTTAATAAAATAGGACTAAAAAACAATTACTATACCAATTTGAATAAAATTCAAACTGTATTTTTCCACCATTTTTACTATTTTGTACCTGTAAAAGTCTTGAGACAAAAGTAGAGTGTAAAAATATTTGCGTAATCATAGTATTTTTTTTAAATGATTATTCAATATTATCTCATTTTTTTAATCTCAACAGTAGGCCCACACTAGGTGATCATTATTTACCCCAGAAACAGAGTGATCGTGAATTACCCCGGGTCACCCTAAATGCTAAAGTGCAATAAAACATTAAAATTTCATTACACTAATGCAGGGATGATTGTGAGCCAAACTTAAAAAGTCCTGAAAATTTCTCGAGTAAAATCATTAATGACGCATTTCAAAAAATTAATGTCTTCATAAATTTAAATCATTGATATTTTAAAAAAATAAAATTCTAAATAAATTATATGTCGCATAATTTAAATGAATAATTATGTATAAGTTTACTTTTAAGTCTTATCACACTTATCATCCTAAAAGAAAAAATATTTACAAATGAAAGAGATGCAAATTATAAATTCTAGTTTTAATATTTCTAAAATAAAACATACAAGAATTCTTAGACATAAATACGATCGATGATTTCTTGAAACTTCCAGACCTCTGATTTTCGGAAACTTCCGGATAACAATTAGCCAAAAATTCAATAATTCGGATTTTTTTCGGATATGGCACATAATGAAATGATTTTTCATTATGTGCACTAGAAACTTATATTTTTGAATCAGAAAGTTTTCAAGGAATATTAAAAAAACCGTCATATGATAAGGAATCACAATAAAATATTCTAGGTTTTCAAACAAGAAACGTCATTTACCTTCAATTAAATATAGTTACAGTAAAAGCAAAAAGATAGATATTAATTATTATAAATAAACACAAGATAACGATAATTTGTCATGACAACAAATCAAGAACAAAGTATAACGAATAACCACGTGAAGAACATTAAGCTTCAATTAACTAAAATTTGGTAGAATAAATTATCCCTGATTTCTTTTAAACACGGAAGTAAGAACTGCAATCTCCCTCAAACCATGAGAATTTTTTCAAAGACTGTATACACTTAACTCTAATGCGGTTATTATGTTTGCATTTTAGCTTAAATCTGTATTTTTCTTTATAAAAAAAGGTAATTTCCACCCCTTTTTCATTCAAAATGTTATACAATTAATAAAATATATTTTATTTTCCTCAGATTATTAAATATTACCATTCTCATTACAAAGAATGATTTATTTCTCATCTCTAATACATTTACAGATTCTCATGTATGAAATTCATTTTCAACTAATATATATATAAAAAAACTGAATTTAAAGCCATCATGAATAAAAGGTAAGCATTTTATTATAAAAAAAATTGCTACACAAGACAGGACAGAGTGCATTTAAAGGGCTCTTAAGACATACCTGTATTACTAAAAACACCAGGATTCAATTGACAATATCGTTGTGCGAATTTCTCCATCATGCGATCTATTTTTTGGGCCTCTCCCGGAAGACGGAAACTCCACAAAAATTGTCTGAAAATCATTACACTTTAAGTTATATTATTTAAAAAATTTTCAACAGAAAAAAATTTTATGTAAAAGCAACAGGAGCAAGATATCAGCAATTTATATTAAATTGATTTTTAAAGAAATCCAATAACCGACTATAAGCCAAAATATCCATATGAATGTCAGTGTAAATAAATATAGACAGTCACTAAAACGAAATTTCAATGGAAAAATGATTTAAATAAAAATATATAAACTTGAAATAACGATATTGTAGATTCCGACACAGTCGAAATGGCGAAAATCCGCCAAACCTGAAGAATTAAATTGGATTTCTGCCTATTGGTAGAAGAATCACATGGATGTAAACGTCTCGATAACGGGAATTAGCAAAAATTTATAAATTTGAATTTTAGATTGTGGAATCCTGTGAAAATGTCGCCATATTATAAATATTTTAATTAGTGAAAGTGCGAGAACCAATGGTTTTGAGAAACAATGAATTCCGCAATATTTCCTTATGCTCTGCTCCTAATTCTTAGACCCGGGATGATAATGCGGAAAACCCGGAATTTTGGGGTGCCCCCATAGTAAAACCCACCTGCATAACAGATAGGAATTTATATTAAGTTCTAAAAATGGTAAATTTGATTGAACACCAACCACTATGTTTTTTTTTTTTTAAAAAAAAAGGATGATTACAAAATTAAATCAAGTTCACTGTCTGATGTAACTAAGCATAGTGTGCCGTAACACACTTAAGAATATATCTATTATCACTAGCACTTTTTTAAAAGTACAAATTTTTAACCTACAGCACTTTTTAAACCAAATTAACAGTCAATATTCTGCATCAATCAATTCAAAATTTTATAGACAGACTGACACAAAAAAAAAATAAAAACATCTTTTAAGCAATGCTTTAATTTATTTATGAGTCATAAGTTTAATAATGGGTAAAGTATGTATATAAAAGTGTTAAGATAAAAATAAGGGAGTAAAAAAGTTAAGCGATCTTAACAAACACAAATGAACATAAGGTTAAAAAGATAGTTAAACATCACAACTGTTACCTATGATATCATTATTCAATAATTTCTAATAATTTTCCGTATTAATTACAATAAAAGGTGTAATGTACTAGTTATTACACAACAATTGAACAAGTTTAATTTCTGATTTAAAAATATCACTTTATAAATATAATAACTAAGTCTAATACTCACCTTAGAGCCTGTACAAGTATAAGATCTGTGAAATCATGCAGTTCTACAAATGCATCTAAAACTTTAATATTAAAGTCATTCCTAGAAGAAAAAAAATTAAAAAATTATTTAAATAAAACAAAATACTTGCACAAGCACATTCAACAAATATTAATAAAAATGAAAATTACTCAATGCATTTAGATAAGATAACTTAAGCATAGTTTACTTTAGATGTTCAAAATTAACTAAAATCACCTTTAGAATCCCTACCGTATAAATTCTTAAAGTCCTTGTTAGTATCCTAGTAGATTTAACTTCTAATAAGTAACTAATATAAAGGTAAAATTTTTTTTAAATTTAGACGCTGGTCAACAGGGTAAATTTTTTAATTTTTACAGGCAAGGTCCAGTAACAAAAAGATATAACTAATCCATACAAGTTTTCTCCCGAGTTTATTAACCCGTATCTATTAATTTACCTTAACCTGTATCCATAAGTTAACAGGGGTCTGTCCAGACATTTTGTGAAAGGTCCGTTTTTCGTGAAATTGGGAAAAAATTACTCACATTCTTTCAACCAGGGTTCGCTTTTATGAATTTGTGCAAATAGGGTCCGTTGTTGCAAAAAAAAAAATTTTCAAGGAGTTTTTAAATTGTAAAGACATACAAGATTATGCTCAACACTGTAAAATTATAATTAGAAAAATTAAATTTTAAGAAATAAACATCAATTGCTGCTTCTAAATTAGAGATGCAACTTACAAATAATTGGTACTATTTAGCCTATACTGCTGAACGCAGAATATTCATTTCGGACGAATGATGGAAGAAACGTCTGCCGAAGACAAAACTTAATTTATTTACATCCATCTTTCTTGTTTTCTGCTCTGGGAAGGGTTTATTCGATTAACAAAATAATAATGAAGATAAACAAATTTGTGAAGGGTCCGATTAAAAGAAAAATCATTTTGTGAAGGGTCCGTTTTTAAGTTAAAATATTTTGTGAAGGGTCCGTTTTTATGAAAAGATATTTTGTGAAGGGCCCGTTTTTATGAAAAGATATTTTGTGAAGGGTCCGTTAACGGACCCAAATTTCTTCTAAACAGACCCCTGGTTAATAAAATGAATAATTATAATACAAAGAATGGAAAATGTTCAAAACTAAGATTAAATATGCTACTCTGTGATTCTAATACCGACTAAAGCACAAAACTGAAATAAAATTTAAAAAAAAAAAAAACAGCATACCATATTTTTCTCATAGTTTTTCCCATTATAGAAATGAACGTGGTAAGTGTACCATATTCTGAGAAGTGCTTTACAGGATTAATAACAGCAGTTTTTTTAAATTGTTTTAAGTTTTCAATTCTTGAAAAAGTGGCATGCTAAAAAATAACATTAGATCTAGTTGTCCATTGCTCACAGGACAATATAAATTTCCTTTGTCAAATTTTATGCAGCATAAATTTCAAACAAAATAAACTCAAGAAAAGTTGAAAGGACTACATACAATTGAGCTTTTAAATGATAAAAGAATAAAATTGAATGAAGCTTAAGTTAATTTTATTAATATAATACCTTTCACCAAGATAATCTCCTATAGCAGTCTTATTTAAACCTTCTCCTTTGTACAAAAACTGTGCAACATCTTCAGCTGTGTCTTTCAGTAGACCATGCTCGATCAAGTATTCGATTCCCTAAAGAAAATATATAAATGAGGGAATTGCAACACAATAACATAAAGAACAGGGCTGGCAAGATTTTTCCGCAGGTGGAAAAAACCATGGTAAATACCGGTAAAAAACGTCCTGGCAAAAACAGGTTTTTGCCAAGCAAATTGGCAAAAACTTATATTTTCCAAGATGAGAGGACAAAAACACATTTTTGATACAAAATTATTCCTAAAATTGAAATATATACTATGAATATAAATAATTACAAAAAAATTAACAAAATTATTATTCCATAATTAAATGATAATGTAATAATATATCATTTTAGTAGTTTAAAACATTATTGATTGAAAAATTTATGATTATTTTCTTATTTCCAGTGAAATGAACTTATTTTAAATTAATATAACTATAATTTAAAGCATAAACTATCAACATGTGTAGTTAATTATTGTACAAATAATAATTTTTTATAATAAATAACAATATTGTACAAATAATAATATTTATTTATTTGTAAAAAAACATTTATTTTAGGATTCTAAAATGAAAAGAGATCAAAAACTTTCAATCTTTTAAAAATTATTACCCTTATATTAATATGTTAAAAATAATTTTTTCATGTAATGTATCAAAATTATTATTCCTTATGATTGATGTAAATTTGTTTCAAGTATTTTGTAATAATATTTAATCAGCAATTTAGATAATTTGGTTTTTGCCACTGTCCTGGCAAAAACCCCTTTTTGCCGACAAAAACTCCAACCCTGATAAAGAATAAACTAAACAAAAAAAGGTCAACATACTTTTTTCGGGTCCATATTGAATTTCTTTTTACCCGTTGAAAGCTGTTTTGCTTTAGTATTGCTTTTGCTAAAAAATGAAAAGATATACTTGTGAAAAGATATACTTTTGACATTAAAAAATAAAATGTAAAATTAAATTAAAAAATAAAATACTTACCATTCATCTTGTGCTTCCAACCTCTCCATTTCAGCAGTGACTTCAGTAATTTCATCCTTCAATTGCTTAAAGAATAAGATTACATATTAATGAGCAATTATGCAAAATTATACAGGGTGTTCCGAAACAACCACACAGTGTATGTATATTTGAATACTTGTCAAAAATAATTAAAAAAGAAACACATATCAGAACATTTAAACATAGAAAATTTAAACTTATGTCAAAATTTGCTATACAACTGGTGAGTAAGGTGGTATGTAAGCCATAAAAACCAGTTTGCTCTACTGATGAAATTTGAAGTATACAATCTCTTTTTAACCTTTTTATATTACTTATATCAATCAAATAGGTTTTAATACTTTTGATCAAACTTTTTTAATTGTAATTTACTATGTTTCAATATAGTGAATAATCGTAGCTACTTAAATACTAATTAGCAATTTCTTGTGTGAAGATTTTTTCACTTCAATGTTGACAAGGATTATAAACGTAAAAGGAGGTTATTGTAGAATATCTTGCGGATCAAAATGCATAGGAGACAGTTTTGTCTTTCAAAAAGAAATTTTAAGAGAAGATTATCAAGCGAACTACAATCACCAAGGTTCCAAATAGATTTTACACTTGAAAATTTTTAAAAAGATAAAATATAAATGTTTGTGTTTTTTTTTAGTTTCTAGCGGGAATTAATGCTGCCCGGAAGTTGCCAAGACTAATTCATTTAGAAAGTACGAATTAACAAAATGTAGCTTTCACAATGAATTAAAAATTTGTAAATAAAAATAAACAATCAGCTAAAACAGTTCATCAAAAAGGTAATGAGAGAAAAATAAATACTTCTGAAAAAGAGGTTAAAATAGATACATGTAATTGAGGAGGAAGAAGACCAACTAGGAAGAGCAGTAATAAAAATTACAATTACATGATTTTTCAAGGTGAACTTAATGATAATAGATGAACTTAATGAAGACAGTCATATTCCTTCCTTCTCAGAAACAGAAAGTGACTTGAGTTTCAAAGGCAATATTACAAAATTTAATAATGTTAAAAAGTTCTAACATTCTTGCTGACTGAAAAAGTAATGTTTCTTTCTTTATTTATTTTTAATGATAATGATATACTTAAACAACAAAATTATTTTAATATAAGATAGTCCATCCATAGACTTTACATAATAAAAGCTGAATCCGGTAGATCTTGCATTTCCAAATTTTTTCACGCCAACAGCCACTGGGACATAAAATTATACGGTGCAGTTCGTCTACTTCAAGTATTATTCGTAAGGCTGCCACTCAAATTTGTAAAAAAAAATTTCCCTTGTTTTCTCTGTCCATATTATGCACAATATATTAAGAGGCGACACGGCGACATTGTCGCTGAATGTTACTGAGTTTTTGCAGAAGGATTTTTCCTTTGGGCAATAAAAATTTTTGCTTTTCCTTTCTGCAGAAATTTTCGAAATATTTTATCTTTTCTTCATAATTATATTCAAAAGATGCCTTTCTCGCACATCGGAGTTTTAATAAAAAATGCTTGTGACTTCTCTATTCTCATTGGTGAATAATGAAAAATAAAGAATAATGAAGTAAAAAATTTGGTTTTCTTTTCTGTGGAAATTTTCGTTTTAATTTTCATGCAGTTGTTACAACTGATTTCCACATAGCTTTTAAAATCCGATATTATTTATCACAACAACTAAATCTCGAAATGAAAACACGCATTTAGTAACCACTTTTTGAAAAGTTCGATTCGCATGATTTCGTCTTCTATCTTTTTTATTGGCAGCTACTGCAACAGATTTTACGATTTTATTTTTTTAATGTGATGATGAATTATAAAATGCGAAAAAGGAAATAATTAGTGTGTTATGTTTCTACAAAATGCGAGAATATCGCCCATAATATTAGAATTAAAAAAAATCCCATATTCAATTTTAAAAAAAAAAAAATTTGAAAAATTTTTTTATTTATTTATTTAATTTAATTTTTTTTGAAGCTTCAACTATAGTTATTTTAAAGTTTGTATATTTTATATTTTTAAATATCTCGCAGAAAGATTAAGAAGTAAGAAAAATGAGAAAGTATTAGAGAGGTATGTCGCAGAGAGCCCGAAAAAATTCTGCCACAGGGTTAAGAGGAAAAACACAATCACTGTGCTATTGAATGAGCTGTATTCAGCAATTACAACTATACTAGTTATAATTGCTGAAAAAACTTAAAAGAAAAGAGGAACATCTTAGCATATACTTAAAACAAATAATGTTATCGTAAATGAACTAGTTTAATAAAGCAGAAGTATCATTCTTAAATATTCCATACATAGCACTTTGAATGGTTACCATTTTTTAAATGATTAAAATAAAAGACAAAATTCCCTGTATTTTCCCAGTTTTTAAAGAAAAACTCAAAATTCCCTGTTATTTCAGGAGATTTTCAAATTCCCTGTTACATAACGATATAAAAGCAGTCTTTTGAATAATGAAAAGAAAAATAACAAAAATTTCTATTTTAATAAATTACATGTAATAAAATATTTCTGTCATTATTTCAATAATTCAATTAATTAATTACAAACTCAAATACAACATACTTATTTGGTTAGTAATTCATTATGATATTATTTATTCATTGGTTTGCGGTCGGAATCCTAGTTTACTGCTGGCTTCAAATGAGTAATAGGCATTCAGTTTAGAGATCGAACAGTGTTGTTAAATTAGGTCATAAAATTTTTCAAGCTTGCGGGCATTCCTTACTTATTTGTGATTGTAAGAAAAGTAACATGAAATATTCAATGAAAAGGACAAAACAAATTATATATAAAAACATACTTGGATCTCGCGTAGTAATTCCTCTTTTCTACGTCGTATATCCGATAATAATTGCTGTTCCTCCGGGGTCAAATCTGCAATGAAAGATTTTGCTTTAGATTTTCTCTTAATAGGAAAAAAGCTACGTTTCTAAAACTCATATAAATTAAACAGTTTAATTTATAATAAAAGTAGCAAAACAAAGAAACGGGAAATAAATCTTTCTTATTTCCATCAAAATACCTGATGCGGATTGGACACCCATTTTTACTGGACTGCACAACACTCAAATCATTGAACTTTTTAAGTGGAAAAGTAAAGAGGGCTGACAAGTAATAGTAAGAAATACTATCCAACTATCTTTCAGGTAAACATTAAATTCGAAACTAAATCGACATCATTGAACAACACCTACGTTTCAACAACAACAACACACCTACGCAACACGTCTTACCTCATCAATAAAATAATCAGAATGACGTTTCGCCGCAAGAGGGCGTCCGAAACGGAATAGTCTTTTTGGTGAGAAGGGGGAATATAGGTCTTGGGGGAAGCATTTTGTGTTCTGTGATGGAAATGACGTAAGCTAATTCGTTTCCGGCCCGGTGGCGTAATAGGGGAGGGGATCCGGAAAATTTGTAACAAACTTATCAATAAATCTTTTTTCTTTTCTTTTACCCTTAAAAAAAATATTAAGTCCCTGAAAAATTTAATATTTAAGCAAATAAAAAAATGTCCTCGAAATTATTTTTCTGAGTGGAAAAAATTAGATCCAGTATTAATGTCCTGCAATTTAAGGTAAAAAATCGCAGGGACTGGAGCTGCTGTTTCGGGTGTTTAATTTACCGTACCATTTTGTTTTGCTGCGCAAAAACTACAATTCTTATATTTTATAAATTTGAAATTACTAAGGTGTGTAGGAAAATGTACAGAGATTACGATAGAATAAAAAATTTGTTCTTCTAGAGACCAATTTTAAAAAAAATAAAAATATCAATTTGTTCGAAAGTTATTTTGAAACGAATTCTTCTAATTTTTTCTCTTAACGTTACATTTTGTTTTGCCGCTTAAAATTTGAAAGGCTTAGAAGCTTGAAATTACGATGGTGCGTAGAAAAAAGTAAACGGTGTACAACGGAATAAAATTTAAAAAAAAATCAGATTTGACAATTAGTTCAAGAGAGTTATTAATGATCAACTGCCAGCTTAAATGCAACTACAGAGTTTAAATTTGACGAGCTGATACTGCTGATAGGGCCATCAAAGATTGTATAAAGGTATAAGTTCGCGAAGCGTATACGCTCTTTGTGACCATTTTGTATCATAATTTTAACGAGTTCTTTTTTCTTTTTAATTTGTATTTGTTTGAGTGTTATTGTAAATTTAAATGCTTTTTAGTGCCTCTTTCCAAATTTTCTGTTTAAAATATTGACAATTTATTTATACTTATAGAAAAATTATCATTATTTTTTTTTTTTTTTTTTTTTTTTTTTTTTTTTTTTTTTTTTTTTTTTTTTTGCCAATAGATGTTTATTTTATAAATTCACGATTGAGTAGATGTCAATCGAAAGAAAGAGAGAGAAATACAGATTACATGTTACTAGACATAAATCTTGGCATTCATATTTTTAATTTGTTACAAGTTTCAAGCAGTTTTCAAAGTAGTTTTTTAATTCTTTATATAAGAAAGCTCAAAATAATAAGGGTTTTTTCTCAAATTTCATTTTGTACACCAAAACAAGATTTATTAACTAATGATAATATCCTTCTAATAATTCTCCTGACAACAAAGTTTGATGATATTAGGAAATAAAACATGCGAAAAAAAGTTACTTTTATGGAGGATGATCCTCAACAATGCCGGTGACATTTTTAATAAAACTTGTTTAATAGAACAAAATGAAATTTGTGGGAAAACTCCTTATCATCTTAAGCTTTCATTAAGAGAGAAAAAAAATTACTTTGAAAAATGCTAGAAATTTTATAATTTTTTTAGATATTCGAATCACACTTTAATTATTAGTTCCCAAATACGATTCACTACAAAATTAAGAAAATGTTTTTCAAAAATTTTTCGGAGCGTGAGCGGTATAAAAGAACCACTTTAATTGCTCTTATCTTACACATTTTTTAACGAATTTTTCTCAAATTTTAAAGCAATAATTTTATAATAAATCCTAAATTTATCTAAGTGTTTTGTTTAACTTTATTGAATATTTTCAAAGTTATTCTCAATATTATATTTCTCAAAAAAAAAAAAAACGTAAGACAAAAAAATTAGTTTTTTTTTATAAAAATGTCCTCCATAAATATTTAAGTTAGGTTTACAAAATTTTGGCAATTATTGAATATAATAACCAAAATAATATAAATAAGTTACAAATATATTATTACATTTTATGCGTTAGATCAATTTTATGACATAGGGTGTTAAAAAACATTTTTTTAAGTTTGTAATTTATTGTTGGCCCCTAAAGCTAAAAAAGCTTTATGGGAAATCATTGTATGAGATATAATTGATATGTATGAGAAATCGCACTTCTAAATTTATTAACTGATTTTCTAAATATTTTTGGAAAAATATCAAAAAATGTGTTAGTAACGAAGTGCTTCCATTATTTTTCCAAGCCCCCCGTGTATGTATATATGGCACAATAAAGACAAAAAGAAAAGAGAAAAAAAAACGAATAAAATAAAGAAAAGCGGATAAGCTGCAAATATATAGAGGTCATAAATAAAATATAGAGAAAACAAGGAAAATAATAAAGATTAATAATAAGAGAAGAAAACTCATTAAAATAAAATATTTCTAAAAGTATTTATTATAAAAAAAATATTAAGAAGCCAGAAAACAAAATAAAGAAAAGATATACTAATCACTTCATCAGCTCAGACAATTATATCAGCAAAAAGAAGTGCATTCTTACATTGTATAAACAACACAGCCAAAGAATAATATATGAATACAATAGTGAGAGGTATAATTAATAAGGTTGGTATTTAACTATGCAATTTTAATAATTTTAGAAAATGAACTAGTATTATTTAAAAAACAAACAAACATGATTTGCTCGTTTTGAACCGATTTCTTCCAGGCGTTAAATTAAAAACGAAGAAAATTAATAACTGCGCATAATAAGTTGCAAATATATAGAACTCATAAACTAAGTTAAAATATAGAGAAAACGTGGAAAATAATAAAGATTAATGTAAAAAGAAGAAAAAAAATTATTAAAATAAAATATTTTTAAAAATATTAAAATTATTTTTAAAAAAATAGCCGGAAAAAAAGTAGATAATATATAAACATGAAAACATTGAAAACACATGGAAACATCTATGAAAACATGGAAAAAATTACAGAACAATGAAAAAAGGGAAAAATAATAAAAATAAAAAACCGGAAAAAAAAATCCGTAAAATTATTAAGAAAAATTCCTAAAAATAAAAGATAGAATCTTTTCATCAGCTTTTCATCAGCAAAAAGGAGGGCTTTGCTTTTCTTAATTTTCTTGTTTTTTTTTTCTTCTTCTTTTGGTCCTTTTCGTATTTATTTATGTTGTGATATANATATAGAGAGAGAGAGAGAGAGAGAGAGAGAGAGAGAGAGATAGTAGATAGATAGATAGACAGATATATCTTTCTTTTTTTTAAAGAAGAAAAAAAAAACTCGGAAGCATGTGCATTTAATACAACAAACTAATTCACATAAATTAGTCACTTCTTCATAGCACGTATTGCATACTGATAATAAGGATGGAAGAAAGCGGGATTACAAAAGTTGACCTCTTGGGGATAAAGAAACGAAAGAAAGAAAATGAGCGGAAGTTCGTTAGGGTGGGGGGGAAATTTCACAATGAAAATGTGGACATCCGGAATTTGCCAGCCCATCATCATTTTCGAAGCAGATTAATGAGCCCTTTCACGCTATACAAGAGAGACTCTTGCTGAAAAGAAATTACATTGAATTCCATTGAAATAATGTTCAGTGAGACGGGGGAAGGAAAAAAAAGATATCTCCCTGAATAATTTTTCTTCTAATGATTGAACTTTCGCGTACTGAGTGCCAATCTAAACTGTACAAAGGGTTGGCTTCAACAGGGTGCGTAGCCAAATTACTCAACAAAAAACAAGCACTTTTCAAGCACTCAAAAATATTTTTAAGCACTTTAAAAAATTATAATTAGGCAAGGTTGGAAAGTTTTTGACAATTGATAGTTTTATCTTGTTTTAACCGTCATGTCAAAGAACCTTTTGGCATTGTTTTTGACAATTGTCAAAAATCACGAAATTTTAAAATGAATGGCGTTTCCATGCGCTACGGACTGACAATACGCCGAAATAGATTGGGGTAGAATTAATTGTAAAAACGTTGAATAGAATCATGTGAACTGTGTCTTTTTGCATAATTTGAAGTGAAAATCAACATAGTAAAGGAAAAATCTTATTTTGAAAGAAGGAAAATTAAGCACTTTTTAAAAACACCCAGTGAAAAAAACAGCTTTAAGGGCTTTTAAAAATTGAAAATAAGCACCTTTAAGCACTTTTTAAAAACGCTACGCACCCTGTTCAAGCATGCTATTTCAGGGTGCGCAGTCAGATTTTTCAACAAAAAATAAGTACCCTTTAAATACTTTTTAAGCATTCAAAAAATATTTTTAATCACTTACCAAAAAAAAATATAAATAAATAAATAAAAATCATAATTAGGATCTGTGCGGTAATAAAAATTATTTTTTTCTACCGTTTAAAGTTTTTAATTAATAAACATAAGACGAATAAAATTCAAAAACATTTTCAAAAACTTTACATAACAATGATGAATTAACTAGTTTCTGATAAATATTGCAGAGAAAATTCAGAAAACCATACATTTTTTTTGTAATTTAGAACGACAATCGACACGCCTGAGAAAATATCTCATTTGTAAAGATAGAAAATTAAGTACTGTTTACAAACCCCAAATAAAAAAAAGCACATTTAAGGGCTTTTAAAAAACGCAAAACAAAAATAAGCACTTTTTAAAAACGCTACGTACCCTGTATTTATAAAGTTACGAAATCAGACGCAAAAACGTCGTTCCCCTCCCCCCAACAGATAGCCTAACCGTAATCTGGAAAATACAGCTCTTTCTAATAGTTTCAATCGAAAATCATAGCCTCTTAATGATATTTTAAACTTTTCACCCTATTTAAACAGCTTTTTAAACAAATCGAAAATTTTTTGCACACAAACATGCAAGTCTGTCAAGTCTTGAAAATGGGTGCTAATTTTTGAAGGGCTTAAAACGTGTCAACTGTTATTTCCTTTTTTTGTATTTTTGAAGCGAATGAAGTTTTTGATCAGGTAAAACATACTAGTATACCAAAGATAAAAATCATGTAGTTTCATAATTATTATTTTTATTTTATACAAAAATTATCGAAAAAATTATAAGTTAATTCTTATGAATTATAATATAAACAAGTATTTACAGCATTTAAAAATAAAACTATGA